GAGCTTATATTATAGACACTGTGTTGGGATAGGTTGAAATTTCTACAATATCTTGGTTACAATGTTTGAATTTTATAGTCTCAGAGTCCTGCCATTCACTATAATCCTGACAAATCTGGTCCCAGTATTTACCAAGCTCTCTACATATAGCTGACCGTGCTCAAATGAATATAAAACACAAACTTTACATTTTGCATTACGCACCGGATCAAATATTTTAATTGGATACATCCACATCTAGTATCAAAGCTGAATTTGACCTTGGCTATAGTAGGTTGATGCCTGAAGCTGTAAAGAACTATGCTCTGTTGGTGCTCAATGATAAATAAAGGATATGTTAAAAGGTGGTACTTTGGGGCATCAATGGTTGGGTGTCTGCTGGTCTGCTGCTGTTCTCAGGGCACCAATTGTTCAGTCTCCAGCTTATCCTGGTTCCCATGTGATTAAGTTTTTAAGGGAAGCAGTTTTTATCCTAACACAAAGCTATGCTAATTATATTTTTATGCTACTTAAACTTTAGCATCAATGCATTTTCCAGTAAAATAGGATGTTGTTTTGGATCCACATTTTCTCAATTCAGACTGCAAACACATTACTTTTGGGTCTAGGTTTTCTTAATGCAGACTACACAAGTTTTACAGTGTAGGTAAAGTCAAAACATTCTTTTAATTTAGGATAGATTAAGAAAGGGTTAGAGATTCCATCCTTTTGCCATTTATGTGCCATTGGCATATTTTCCTTTATTTTTTTTCTCAAGTCATAACAGCAAGTAAAGAATATCCTGTCACCGGAACAAGCTTCTCCATTTTCAAGGCTTTCCATCTATTTCTGTTCTCGAGACAACTCACAAATTTGGATTTTCCATCACTTTCAGTTATGTTGACAATGGTCATCAGCACAATAGAGGGATGACTCTCTCCAGTGGGGCATAGACAGCAATGAAAAACCTGAAACCAAAAGATCTAACCCTTCCACATTCTAACCAAAACTAAAAAAAGTTTTGGCTTTAAATATACACTTTCAATAAAAGTAGCCTTGTCCTTTCTCAAGTGGACTGTAAAAATTGCATTAGCATATAGCACATGACAAAGATGCAAATAATAAATATTTGTAGTGCAAGTCATCAAACAGAGTGTAACTCATACTGGCCAAATTAAAAAAAAAAATATCCAAAGGGATTCCAAAGAATAGTTTCTAAAACAGACTAGAAAATGTGGTACATATTACACATGATGTAAATCGTTGTTAAAAGTTTTTAACGGAGGCCCACAGAACTGTTTCCAAACAAAAGCTGATAAACAACTCCACTATTGTAATACTATCGGTACAGTTACATATACTTGGAACAAACATAGCATAGCTATACAGCATCGTAGTAAAGGTCTGTTGATTAGACCGGTACATATTAAATATTTCAATAGTTTACTAAATTAAATTTACATTAATAACAAACAAATGCCTCATACTGTCAGAGAATTTTGCATTAATGTACTATTTTGTGGGTTGTTTTTTTTAATGTAGACTGTAACGTATGGTGATTACTGAATTAGTTTACTTTTTTATGTACAGAAAAATTACAGATGTGCTTTTTATACTAGAAAGGCAATATATACACCAAACATCACTTAAATAGACAAAGACCTCCCAACAGGCCTGTATGAAGTCAAGGTTGGCGACTGCCGTGATATGCTCAAACTGCATTGCCTATTCTCAAGGCATGTCCTAAATTTATTTTTCCATGGCCTCCTACAACCAATGTCCTACACCTTTAAAAAAAACAAAAAAAAAGGTAAAGGTCCGACTTCTTAAATTTTATAACGTATGCAAAATAACATATATTTGTAATCTGTATTAACTATATTGCATATTTATGCCTTTACCGATTCTTGAACTATGGGACAGTCTTTGCTGCTAGGAGATCCATAGACATCTGTGATGCTCTAAAAATGAAAGTCACATTTCATTTATGCAAAGCAGCTTTGTCTTCAGAATGCTTTGAGATTGCCTGTCAGCGAAAAATGATACAACATGTCCCAGGCATTATTGTATACCGATAGGGTTGTAGCCACAATTCCCAAATGCAAAATTTTAAGGTTTCCTACGGAACACAGGTGACACCTACATTTGTACATGGATCACTGTGGACAACAGATATTTCAAGAACCCATTTCAAAAGGATCAATACAGGTAATAAATACTACTGAAGGAGAGAAGTGTATCTAAATAAAAAAAAAAAAAATGTAATGTATTGCAGCCTAACAGTCTTTAGATGTAGTGGCTACATTCATTTTTCTTCTTTAAAGGAGAACTATGAGGTGAGTTCTTTTCACTCACCTCATAGTTCTAGCCGACCTGTGACAATGAGACTGTCACAGGTGGGCTCAGTAGATCAGGAAGTGAGCGAACACATACCGGCGTTCGCTCACCTCTCGATCCTGTCACAGCTCTCTGGTGTAGCTCGCGGTATACTGAGCTTAGGGTGACGGGAGGACGCTAGTTTGTGTCCTCCCGTTACCCTAAGGAGAACTATGGGGAAAAGCCTTAAGCACATAGTTCTCCTTTAAGGCTTTTATTCCTGCTTGATGCTACTAAATTTAACAGACCAGAACTGATCAAATAAGTAAAAAAATATGGTTAGATTTGGCATACCTTTTATTACCCTAATTTGGCCTGCTTAACAAACTTTGTAAAAAAAGAAAAACAAATTGAGGTTTAAGGCCTATTTTTTGTTGGGGAAAAGGGATTATAGTCAGTAGGATGCAGAATTTTATTTCTCAAACAGTTAAGGTGACCCTTGACAAAAACAGCATGACTGTTGGGTGAAGTATGTGAATGTTGTCCATTTCTGAGGCAGTTCAAATTGCTCAGGTGCCAGAACGAAAGATTAACAAAAATGAAATAAAAAAAAAGTTCCCCTTGAATGTCCATGTACCTTGGTTGTGCAGTATCAACGTGATCTCAAAACCAAAAACCCATATTAATTCCTTAACACATGCAGAGGTGTTCAACTTGTCTTTTTGGAGTAAACGGATATTTCCAATGAAGATGTATTTACCAACGAATGGATTAAACCTTGCTTTGTTGCTAACCATCTCGAGATGCTTAAGGCTGATAGGGTAACTAAACCTATACATGTCTTTTAAAAATCATATTAAAGTCACACTAAACTCAGGAGTTAAATCTGAAAAATGCATTCAAGTACCTTAACTATTAACAAAAATGTAACTTATTTGTGTATCACTCGGCTGTACACCCTCAAATCAACTCCCATGATCCCATGATCCCTGCGTGTGTAATAAAGTAACCACCACTCCAAGCTCACTCCTGTGATAGACTACAACTTCAATACAAATTTGCCAACTTAATTGTGAGACTTTTGCTCCCCACAGTGTCTGAGGACACCTTGGGGAACAAAAGTAGCCCCCCTCCAGAAGGAAGAATAGTGTCAACACCAATTCAGAGATGATTTGAGGATCTACAGCCGAGTGATACACAAAACAGATACATTTTTGTTAATGTACTTAAATGCATTTTTAATATTTAACTCCTGAGTTAGTGTCACTTTAAGGAGTGAACCAATGCTTATAAAAATGTAACATACCCCATTATGAGCCATTTTCTATACTAGTTCCCAGGGAGCTACAGCCTCACCAGTATCTATTTATATAATGGCTGCCCAAAAGTGTACTGAACAATATTTTTTCAGCATAGAGGAGAGCTCAAGTCTTCAACCTTGAGCTGCATTCTTGCAGTCCATTAAACGGCTTCCTCAACTGTATATAGGAACAACTATCATAAAAGTCTACAAGCACCCAAAGCAAATAACTTTGTAATGGTAAAGATTTCAATCATCCTCTGCTTTCTTATTGCAACTGAAGACCAGATGGAAAGTCCAGCCCTCCCATCCCCTGATATAAATTTGTAGTGTGGTAATGCATCTCTAAAATTTAATCTGTGGTGATAAATACGAGAGCCTAGCACGTAAAACCATATTGATCTGCAGGTGGCCAAAGTGAGCCTTCAGATCAGAGCCATATCCAAGATCTTAGAGGAGGTCCTCCCGACATGAGTCTCCACATTTTAAGAAACCAGAGGGAGAGAGAACCCCACCGCTGACCATGCTAAACAGCTTTGGGTAGAGCTAAACCAAACAATGGTGCATTCGTCACAAAATGACATTTGTAGACTAAAAAAAACATTTTATTTTATTAAACAGAATGATTTAATTTGAGCTATTTGTTTGGTCTTTGCGCAAACTTCATGGCAAAATAATAAATAAGATCAACAGCAAAATCATGGAGTTCTAAGTAGTGGATGGACTGACCACTAGAACACAACAGGTCAAGTAAAAGAAAGGTATTATGCAATAACTGCACTTAAAGGGATATTCCTGTTTTCATTTTTATTCACATGACACTAATAAAATCTTCCAGTGTTTACTTTTTTTTTTTTAATTGTCTCTCTCTCTATTGCTCAGAAAAATTGAGACATTTCTTTCTGCAATAGTGTCTGAGGCAAAAATCTTGTCTGTTTTTTTCCCCCTCTTTGTTTTGTGCAGTTGCCATTTGCACGCAATAGAATATAAAAGGTGGGATATTGGTAAAGCCAGATATGACACAGACGTGGAGGAAGACCAACGTGTCTCACGCTATGGCTGTGCATTCAACAAAGTACCAGAGAAGGATAATTATTTTGATTAGACAAAGTTAATTTTGTGAAGAGACGAGGGCTCATTTTGCCAGTCACTGAGATTATTTTTTTTTGTTGGCCCACATCTCTCACTATAACACAGGAACATTAACCAGCAAGGGGGAGGGGGTAATGTTCCTCTCCAAGGATGTTTAATTGAGTTACTAAAAAACTCTTAACAAAACCTTCAATGTTTTGAATTTTCTGCCAGTTATAAAGAAAAAATTCAAAAAGTTCACACTAGTACCGTTTTTTCCCTCTTTTTTTTTACATTATAACACTGATTGAACAAGCCTTAAATTTCATTTATTTTAAAAAAAAAGTTTTTTGTTTTTTTTTCCTCCACTAAAAACACATGCTGTATTGTCAGGTCTAGCTACATTTACACGACTTTACAATCATATTGGAGAGCTGTTCGATTTTTGGTGTTTTCCCGACATAGTACAATATGGTTAAAGATTCTAAATCTTGAGATACGCAGCACGGAGAAGCAGAGGCTTCTGGGTTAATGGTGTTGTACAGACCGAGAACCTGCAGGGGAAAAAAAAAAAGACTTGTTAAAGAGGACCAAAAAAACAATGTAAATTTAACTTTAAAAGTATATTAAGGGCCAAAATCTTTTTTCCCCATTTTGGATAGAATGGGGAAGAGTTAAAGGCAAATGCCACATTTAAAAAAAAATAATAATGAATGCACGCATATTAACAAAATAAAAAAAGATGCATTTATTATTTTTTTGCATTACATACAGTTGGTAACGCATTGCAACCGCGATCGGTGGATTGCTGGTGCAGTGCTCTCTCTTCTGCAGACTATGCCTCATGTCCCTGCCTGTACAGAGGTACGGATATTCAGTAACAGGGATGGGAGAAATTGTCAATGGACTACAAGTGTGGTGACGTCTTTGCACTTGTATTCCACTGAAAACCATAAGTCCCACTGCTCTAGGTGGCAGATTGGACTTGTAGTTTCTCTATATACAGATCCTGTCAAAGGATCTGTGAATAGATGACATGGCTGTGTGGGAGAAGCCACGCATAGCAGCAGCTACAGATTTGATAAATAGCAGTAGCCTGCAGGGAGAAGAACCACACAAGTCATGTAAGTGTGGGGGTGGAGTGGCAATGTCACCATGTTTTATGTTACATCCTGAATATGGCTGTAACATGAAACATTGCATAGAAGGTAAATTTAGCATTTAAAAACACATAGAGTTATTTTTGCCCTACCACAAAATGAATGGTGGAACAGTCTTGTTGCTCCTTAAAGAGGAACTTTACCCATATCTTCAAAATGACAACAAACACACCTTTAGAAATGTTTACTAATGACAATCTACAAACACATACTTCTAGATAATTGCCGGCTTTTTATTCTTTGCATATCTTATTTTTATTTCCCCCCCCCCCTCCCCAGGTTACTTGATCTCCCTTTATTTCCTGTTACTCTGGCACATGTGACAAGGACATGTGACCATGCACATCATCTCAGGGGAGGAAAATGCCTTTCCCTGAGATCCTGTGAGATTACAGATGAGATTTGATTCTGCTGATGTAACCTTCCCAGGACACTACGCTTGGGCACATTACATCATTTGTGCCAAAGTGGACCAGGAAGTGGAAAGAAAGAAATTGTAATAAAATGAAAATATGTTTGTTTAGCTAATGAATGTAAGATGATTTCGTATCAGCATGCAGAGCTGTATGCTGAGGTGATGTTTAGTCAAAGGGGGTAAAGGTCAACTTTAAGCCTTAATCCTTAGAAGTCAAAGTTCCCTTGACTTGTACTGATAAAAGAAACAGGGATCTTTAAAGCATATTTAAACCCAAAAATGTAATGTATTGCAGCCTATCAGGCCTTCGATGGTTTATTTACCAGACCAAAATGGAGTAAATAAAAGTGCATTGTAAGGCCTCATTCACAGTGCTAAGAGCCGACCCGTAGAGATCAGTGCGGCGTGCACGGACATATCAGGCCGCTCCCGGGAAGGACAATTGCTGTGTGTGATTTGTACGCAGCAGCCTGTTCTCCTCTATGGGAGTACGTGGCCGTACGATCACCCGAACTGCATATCCGTGCGGGTGTCTGTGCTTGGACGCAGACAGGATGCATCCTGTCTGCGTAAGGAAACGTACACCCGCACCGATGTGCAACTCGGGTGAGCGTACGAAGGCGTACTCCCCTTCTTGGTAGCAGCAGATACGGCCGTGCACGGCGCACGGATCTGTACGGGCTGGCTCTTATCAGTGTGAATGAGGCTTTAGGGTTTCCATCCACTTAAGTGGAGCACTTTCCATAGCCAACTGTCATCAGAACAGGAAGTTATGGAAAATCTGCCCAATTGCAACATAGACATCTGTAAAAAAAACAATAGAGGTTCAAATACTTCCATGCTTGGTCCAAAGCAAAAATAATAATACCAAAAATAATACTAAAAAAATAAAATAATAATGTTGTAGTTCCAATTTCAAATGGAAGTATAGTGTTTTTTTCAAGGAAGAATGTATTCATTGTTAGATACATTAATACGCTTAAAAAAAACATGAATAAATATAGCTGCATTGGGTATTTAGAAGCCATACATACGGTACTTTGGTAAAAAGAAAAAGGAGTTTTGTTTGTAAAGAACAATATTTGAGTGAGATGGAAAGATTGAATTTGATGAGCTATTTATAAAACGAATGTTATTTTGGTTGCAGCAAGAGCAGTAAATAGGTGACCCAGTGGCGGTGCTTATGGATTAATAAGGATATTATTAATAGGTTAGTAAAACACAAAGTGACCTTTTCCTGCTGATTCAATCGACTATTTAAGACTGGAACAGAAGTCCTGTTCATCTCGGCCACAGTGGCTATATTATATGGTTCTTGCACAAGCATCTCATGCACAGTAAATGCCCAACAGATATTTCTGAAGGGTCAGCATCCGGAGAAACTGTTACGTCTGTTCAACAATTACTCACTTTTCTGTAAAACTGCCTTAGCAAGTAAAAAAAGTCCTTCATCTAACTAGTTAAGGTATATGTAAGCTTAGAATCTATTTTTCGGTATGTTTGACGTCATGTCCCACTATATAAAGGTTTAATGAGCAAACATTTTTTTGTAAATTGATTGCAAAATTTCTTGCCTGGAAATCCTACCATTAACAGAACTTCCTGTAACAGGCTAACAACGCTAAGCCACTGCCTCGCAATTGGCAGCAGTGGTGTTGTTGGGCTGCCATGTGCTCTCCTTTAGTTGCCTACTGAGCTACCTGTCAGGTCTATCAAATTGGCAGCCCAGCAGCCAACTGAAAATAAACTATACAGTGAGGCATGAAGCTAAACATAATGAAAAAATAAAATATTTAGCATTTACATATACTTTAAACTCTACCCATATATTTAGAAATGTTTAGAAATGGCAATCTCTCTTGCCAGCGTTGTATACTTTGCATACCTTATTTTTCTTTTCCTCCCCATTCTTTTCACAGTGGCCATTTTTACTAAGGGCAGATTAACATATCTTTACTTCCTGGAACTTTGGGACATGTGACCAGGACATGTGACCATGCATATCATCTCAGGGGAGGAAAATGCCTTTACCTGAGATCTCATGAGATTACAGAGGAGATTTCCCAGCAATGCTCTGCTGATGTAACCTTCCCAAGATGCATGGCTTGGGCACATTACTGTACATTAATGTCCCTGAGGACCAGAAATTGTAATAAAATAATAATTGTAAGTAAAATAAAAATATGTTTGTTTAACGAATGAATGTAAGATGATTTCATATCAGCATGCAGCGCTGATATGCAATTGTATTGTAGTGTATGAATGCATGCAGAGCTGCATGCTGATGTGATTTTTAGTGAAAGGGGGTAAAGGTCTGCTTTAATAGCACAGAACAAATGAGTGCCATGTACATCTAATGATAAACATTTTTAAAATGAACCTACCAAAGTTGAAAAATAAAAATCCTTATCTAATAGCTGGAATCAAGAGATTACTAAGATGTTGACCACCACCACCCACTGTTGAACTGAATCTACGGTCAGATCCCACCCCCAGAGCTAAGCTTCCCCCAATGCCCAGTGAAAGTAGCTCAGTGGTCAATTACAGTGCTCACATTGGACGGCACTATATCATGTGGGATGATACACTGGTCATGTGATTATAGGCTTATAGAACTAATGTTAAGGTGGGACTGGACAGTAAGTGTCTCACCTGACTACTGATCTTCCCCTTTGGCTGAGGTCACATAATTAATGCCTTGACATTTCGTCATGTGATCGGCCAGAGGGATCCTATAGCATCATTTTTTTCCGAAAGTATTTAAGTTCATAAATATATTAGGACAGGAAGGTTAGGATGGATGGATGAGGGGTTAGAAACATTTAAATTGCAGGTATACTTCTTAGCATTTGGTAAAGGTGGAAATGTTAGTAAATAAGTCATAAGCCATCTTGAAAGGTTGTTAATCAAGTCATGTTCTCTCTTGAAATGCTAATAAGTAAGTCATACACCTTCTTAAGAGGTTATTATTAAGGCATAATTAATTTGTAATCAAATAAGGCATAATTTGTTAATCAAGTCATATGCATTTGGACTTACCCTTGTGTGCTGGGTGTCGGAGCTCCACAGATAGGGACAGGCTCCAGCACAGAAGTTAGCATTGTAACCTTTGGGTTCATGAATCCATTTCCAGCCAAGATCCCTCTTAAAGTCAATAAACAATGGACGCAGACAACAATTGTCTTGAACATTTCTGTCAAATAGAGAATTAAATGTTCTATTAAGTGCATTTATATAAAGCCAAACTATGTTCAGTTTCTGGTACAGAGAGAGATTACCTCTACTGAAAATATGACTTGCCTGGCCATCATTCTGACTTTGCCTATATACTTGTCCCAGTTCCCTCTTGAGAAAGTGTTAAAGACCGCCAGCCAACCAGCATTTTCAGCAGATCATCAATGATGGCATACATGTCTCTGTTCTGGTTTCCTTAAATGCAGAATTGCCACCAAATACAAACCTCTTAAACAGTAATCCAAAGCTTGGAATGGTTAGATCTAGAGATGCACTGTTACCGGTTTTACGGTATCGAGTACCGCTATGTATATTTCGGTATTCGCCGATACCGGTACTTCCGGTAGCATGGAGCCATTTTCCCGGGCAATCAGGAAGGAATCAGCTCCTTGATTGCCCGGGAAGCTGGCTCCATACTGTTCGGCCTGCTTGATGCTGATTGGCCGGGAAGCCGGCTCCATGCTGTTTGGCCTGCTCCATGCTGATTGGCCGGGAAGCCCCGGCATCCCAGCTAATCAGCATTGAGCCGGCTGTCATTACCCACGGCCAGGCTTCCTGGCCATACAGCATGGAGCTGGCCTCCCCGGCCAACCAGGAAGCCGGGCTGCAAGTTATTACCTGCGGCCCGGCTTCCTGATTGGCCAGGAAGCCGGCTCCATGTTCCCATGTGGCACTGCCGGTCAGAGGTAATCTCCCTCTGACCGGAAGTTCCGTATCGGGATAAGTATCGGAGCATTTGGGCTAGTACAAGTCCAAATACTTGGTATCGGCACCAATACTAGTATCGGTGCATCCCTAGTTAGAACCCCTGTCAGTTTTTCCTTTTTGCCACCTGTGTCCTATTGAAGAGGCTGCCAGACAACAGTGCATGAAGAATTAAAACTCAGGAGTAATCACCCCTGTATATTTTAGTCACACATCAATATGCTAGGCCCTGATAAAGGGGAATTTGTGTACAACCCCGGAAGTGCACTGGCAGCTTGTGACATAAAAAAATCATATCTGGACAAATCCCCACAGCTTGGCACTCTTATCCTTTCACTCCATACAAGCTGAATTTCCCCAACAAATGAGAGCTGTCACATTCCGACAATCATTTAATTTACTCAGAACCTTCTCCAAGCTTGGAGTCCAGCTCTTCACCATCTTGATTACACTTTAACATCAAATCTGTATTTACATGTCCAAGAGAATTCACTAATCTGCCCAGCACAATTTTCTTTAACAGAGTACTCACCTAAAACAATAAGCAGCATCTAAAGCACGTTTCTTCCGCCGGTTCGGCGGCTGGGACTCTTGCCTATATGACGGCAGCAGCATTAGTAATAGATGAGGGGCCTGGCTGCTATGTTTTTTCTGACCAGGCTTCAAATTTCTGTGGTCCACGATAGGGTATAAGAAGGGGTCATCAATACCTTTTAAAAGATGTCCAGAAAAGAATAGATTAAATCTCTGTGTGTGCCAACTTAAAGATATTTAAAAAAAATCCTGGTAAAAAATAGTAATAATACTTATCTGTCACATCAACCGTACCTCTGGTCTTCACTCTCATGTAGCGTCTGACACTTCCAGGTGTGTGGGATATCTGAGTACCCCCTCCGTGCTCTATGGTTACACCCAGTGGCCACAGCTCTACGTGAGCACAATAGTGATTTAGGTGAAACCAATGCATGCAGCAGGGTTGCAGACATTCGACACACCCGGAAATACCAGATGCTGGTTCTGCGGCTAGTGTAGCTCTACAAGAGAGTGTAGATCAGCGGCAGGGTGACAGGACAGGTAAGTATTATTATGCTTCTTTTACAGAGTGGTTTTTCTAAATTCTTATTTTGGAGACAGCGTTGATTAATTAAAATAATAACCATACATGTAGGGCTGCAACAACTAATCGACATAATCGATTATAATCGATTATTGAAAAAGTTGTCAACTTTAACATGTGTAAAATGCAGTAATGCATAGCAACCCATCACAATTCTTCTTTCTCTTCTGATCTATCACACTGAAGTCTGATTATTTTTTATGGGTTACTGTACTGAGCACTCTCTCAGAAAACGGACTAGAAGCCCATAAGAACAGGGGCCCACCCCTGTGTCATACTTTTAACTAACGTACAGTTTATCTAAACCCAAGAATAAAAATTTAATATATTGCAGTATACCAGACCTCAGATGTGGTGGCTGCATTCATTTCCTTTTTTAAAGGCTAACATTTTTAGAAAGTACAGAAATACTTGTTGATCCTACCATAAAAACCAATGTGCTCCTAAATGAATTTGCACTGAAATGAAATCTCAAACCATGTTATCATCCTTCTTAGTTCTCTTCTGTGAACTTCACCTCCACTCTATGTTATAGAAATGAGACGAGCAGCATAGGGTGATAACACTGCTCCACCATAGATACAGTATAGGGAGTGAGTGTTATTACACTAGAACAGAAATACTGTAAAATATATATATATTTTTTTTTTTTATTTATATGAAATACAATAAAAAAAAAAATACCTCTACACATTTCCTTGCTTTGCTCCCCCACCTGGGAGCTTTAGGTGCTCCCAACTCTATATTGTCTTTCCACTGCTCCTGCTGCATCCGGAACATAAAATAACTGCAAAAACTCCAGGGACAGTAGTAATCCCCTGTAATAGCTACAGCAGATGTGCAGACCAAAGCAGTTTCAATACCGTACCTCACCATATAAGAAACCGTTAGGGGTATATATCTCTAGTATTCAGCAAACATTGAGATGTCACTTGGAGTGCCCAGTCGGCAGAAAAGATAGCCATTCATATTAACTTGATCGTTTATGATAAATCTGATCTTTAACAAATGCCTTTTATAAAAAGAAAGAATTAACGTTTTTATTGTACCCGCAAATCTGGTTTCTAGCTCTTCACTTTTGTTTGGGATGATGTAGTTGTTTGAAGGTACAAAAGTGCAACAAGGACAATGTAAACTTATTTTAAATCCAAGATTCCTATCTGTAAGAGAAAGAATGAGAGTTATCAATAACTAGAAAGAGAGATAGATTGATAGCGATATATGAAATTGACACATAAATAGAGATTGATAGGTTGATAGAGATGTATAGTTAGACTAAAATTAAAAATAAATAGATAAATAAATAGATATGAGATAGATACACAGATAGTGGTCTATTATTGAATTTGACTTACCTCTGTGGCGAAGCCATTCCTTGATGGCCTCTGTGACGTCAAAGGACAACCACTCGCCCTCGGCTCTCGTCTTCACGACTTTACTGTCTATGTAGCGCTGCATTGGTGATGTTAAGTCTTTGGATTTAAGAATCTAAAGCCAAAGAAACCCAGCAAAGATAAAATCATAATGTGTTACTCTTTCTAATATTAAGGTCTGATTGATTAGAAACAAAACACTTTCTGTGTGGTTAGATTTTATCTAAGTAGCTGATGGTAGGCAGGCTGAGTGGTTGCAGTGAAATACAGAGATCCACTAGGGAAATAAATTGTTATATATAAAATAATAAAGAAAATATGGCACAGAAAGCTTGTAAAAATGTTAAACTAGATAAATACTAGATAAGCACTTGACAGATCACAAGACCAAGCACAGAGGTGCATAAAGCAGAACCACCGGACAGGTCATAGGAGCTTTCCTGTACGCCTTGGTGGATTCCCTTGCCAGCCCCTACACTTGATGATCACTGCAGAACTCTGTTTTATAGATAGGCAGATGGATAATTGATCTCTGGATACCTGCTTAGAATTGGACATTCCTATTGGGTGTGAGATGCATTCCAGTAGGAAGAGTGCAGGAGCTATGGTTAGGCCCTTGGTACACTATGTTAAAAAGTAATTGAAAGAGGAGTGTCTAGAAACAATTTACTGGTTACAATTGTGTTTCAGGGACTTTAGATCTCCCTTCGTCAGGGCTTAAGGACTTTTTAAAACACTTAAAGAGTTTGAACAGAAGATTAATATCCTGTAATTGGGTTTAGGTAAGTCATTCCTATGCGGTTTCCAAAACTAGTAAAACCAAAAGTAGCAATATTACCCATAACAATTGTTCTTACTCCATTAACATAGAAAGGGTAAAATCTGTATTTTTATGGTCTGTTTTTTTGTAAAGTGATGATTCTAGGCATGTGTAAATGCAAAAGAACCAGATTTGATTCCCCTCATGTAAAATCATGGATCAGTGACGAAGGCCATTATATGGATGTTTCCCTTTGCTTTAAATTTTACTTGCTAAATGCTGTCCCTCTTTTTGGGAGGAATGTCAGACATGGCAAAATGTGAAATAAAAGCCTAAACTTAACCACAATTTCATGTTCACACAACCTAAATAAAAATAATAAAAAAAAGTTGTGTGACTTCTGTGGAGTTTAGCTGCAGGCTATCTCTGGGTGAAAGGAATATAAAACAAACTGGGGGAAGTGTCTGGGCTTATTATCCGAGACTTCCATCCACCTCCATTCCTGGAGTGACCCATTCAGCCAAGTGGTCTCACCGACACACTTCATCAACACTTCATCCTCTATAAATAGCCTCCCATTTTACATTTGGCTCGGAAGCCAATTTAACTATTAGCTGAACAGTGTGCAGTTCTTTCTGTTCTCTGTATATGGCCCGGAAGCCTTGAAAAAGATGTTCTCTCATAAAAATATCTACAAGTATAACTCAAAAACATTGTAGTAATGGTTCTGATGCTTGCAGAGATCTTAAAGTGCACCTGTGCCCACACTATGGACAATAAAGGGTTTACATATTCTTAACAAGTACGGTAGTAAAAAAAAAAACCATCACTGACCTCTCCAGATGCATGTACTGTGAAGTTATTAATTCTCAAAGATCTTTAACCACATAAGTCCCAGGGCTATTTTTTCCCTAAATCTCCTTGAGTACCAGAGTTTTTTTAAATTTTTATTTCATTGATGTCTCGGGTCCGAACAATATATCTGTTAGGTTTTGTATTCCACCCTAAGGTATTATACATTTTGTACCAGAGTGGGATTTAATTTGGTACCAAATGAGGATACATATATTTTTATTTCCTGTAATCGTTTCCAAAGTAATGTCTATGTAATTTGCGCACTATTATATATTTATCCCAAAATATAATCAACAAAGTCTGCTGAATAAAATATCACATTAGTGCAACTTATATGTAACAGAGCACAATGGTAAAGCTCAAAGTAAATGTTTGAGTTTTCAAAGCTACATTATGATGCATGTGGGGGGAAAAAAAGGGGCTTAGAAAATTTTAAATTGTTAGTGCGTTTTTGAAAGATATTGAGTTTGCTTACGTGAGCATTTGATGCTTGCGATTGAATGTAAATGTCATTCAGATCATCTGATATCATTGGTGGGGCATAGAGATTCTTTTAGGGAGGGAATATTTAAAAATATTTTAATTTTTGCTTGCTATAGATCACTATAGGAGTAATCTACTGTTGTAGAAAAAGGCTGGACAGAACTGTAACAGTGAGAAAGTGCCGTAACATCACTTGTGATACTACACTCCCAACATAAACACTATGCGGAAGCAACGTGTTCACATTCACTTCTACAGCACATGACTATGGAGTGTAGAAGTATCGGAAGCCCGGGAGCTGATCATTTCATCTCTTGGGCTTAGTGCTGGATGATAACTGTCACTGACAGGTTGCAGTTCCAACCCGTACCCCCGCCGGAGCTGTTGATTCCAGCTGCCACTTTAAAATGGCACTGGAATAATAGTCGCTATCTTAGCACTGTTTTAGAATAGCTGCTGGGACTCAGGTGTTTAAAGTTCACAACAAAGACTCTAAAGTTGGCTTCAAAATCGAGTTATAGGTGTAGTCTTGTTTGCTGAATTTCCCGCTAGCAATATCCATGTGCTTTCAGTGTTGCCACCATCTTAAGGTATTCTCATGACTCTGACCGCATTCTCTTTAAAAACAGATATATAAACATCTAGCAGGGAGAGGGGGACCCATTGAAATGGTCGGAGCAGATGTCCAGGCCTTAAACTCAGTGCAGAGCTCTGGTCCCAGGTCCTCAGAGCAGAAAGCATTAGGTGTTTTAACTTTCCAGCATCCAGCAAACACTAACAAAACTGTTGAACCGGTATTTGTAGCAAAAACCTTGCTCTTTCACGTTTTAAGTATGCTTTAGAAATACTTCAGACTCAGAAGTCTGGTATGTGCTATCTATACCATTCACCAAGCCCTGATGGAGGGGGACCCTTTAAATCCCTGAAATGCATTGGTTGCTTTTATTGTATAAGTCTTCCAATAAATAACCTTTGTGGACTTGACACAACTGTCTGGCGCTTACTGTACCTGAAGCAGGGCCCTATTTCTATTGCTGGATCCAGAAGATGCACTAACTGTGATGCCTAACTTAACACCCCTTTGCTAGGATCATATGACATCACATATAATATTGTTTTATTGGTCTAAACCTGGCAGAGTATTATGACAATATCTAAATAAGTTCATATGTGATAAAGCATTTGATGTCCATAAATATGCCAGCTCTCTGTCTCTGGCATCAGAATGTCTCTGGCCATGAGGGGACCATCTAATGCAGTCATATAACAGGGCAGGGACAATTGGTGCTGTCCTACAGGGACTCCATAGCCTTATGTAAGCTAGCACTCCATAGACTCATAGCTTGCACAAGGCATGGACTGGCAAGGGATGGAAAGGAAATAAGTATATGGATCTAACAGAGTCTACCTTAAAGTGAACTTATTGTTTTGCCTTGCATGGTAAAAACAAAACTTCACTTTAAAGTTCAGTCAGTATGAAACTCGCCAGTATTAGATTGCATGAGTGGTGCTTGCCATTTTATGACTGTGAACTAACTACACCAATACCCGAGAGCTGAATGCCCCAAGCCTCCAAACAGCAGCTAAGAACATACACTAATTAAAGAGGGGAAATGGGGTAAGATTTAGTGTTGTATCAACTCTACACTGTGTGTAATGCAAATTACAAAAGCATTCCATAGAAACAAGACATCCCAGCATGTTCAATAACAGATTACAATGTTACCAATTGGTTTAACAGACCACTAATACTTTGTAGTTGAAATAACTTGAAAGGGGTAAACAGGAAGGCACACTGACAAGACATCATTATTCAGTATATGTATATATATATCTATGTATATATCTATATATACAGTATATCTATATATATCGATATAGCTATATATAGATTTATATACACACACAGTACGAGGTCAGGGTTCCATTCTAAATATTCTGCCAAATGCTGCTTTTACTGGAATGTTATCAAATAAATTCCCGTACGAGGATTTCTCTGGATAGATAACATTCAGTCATGGGATTCTGGCTCTTTCAGTGTAACAGGGAATTCTGATACAAGGATTCATAACTTCATCTGTAATAACAGATACAAAAGATATTGGGATTGTTAAACGTACTGTTGACTAACCTTCTGGGCATTTATAAAAGCAGACAAGTTTTATCAGGTTTGCCTGCATTATAAAATGGTTATCTACAGCAGGTACTGGGAGGTATTGCATGCCTTGTAAAGCACCCGGGGAGCCTCCAAACCCAGGGCATCCTGCTATACAAATTTCACCCTACTATACTAGTCTGAAAGTTAGGCCTGTTTCCTCCCAATTCCCATGCCTCACTACAGGCTCATACCTATGTATACCACCAATGAAACAAACAGGAGCTGTTTAAATCTTGCTGATTTTTAGGGCTCCTTGAGTGTTTTATAAGCTACATGTCCATAAATTAGTCTGATATGTGCTAGCTGTAGATGAGCGGTGGCATGTTCAGTACAGTAAAGGGTCAGTCTACCGAAAATGGATATTTCAATTTTTGGTTTTGCTGAAAAGGTAAAAACACCTAACAATTTTTTTCAATCTCGTAAGGAACATGCCCTGATCTTCTGCCTGGACCTGACTACGTTTTCATCTTCTGCTTTATCTATCTGGACCACCTGAACACTCTCTGCTAGCCACCTGCATTGACCCCTGCCTGGATCCGACTACACTTTTGTCTACTGGCTGGTGACCTGAAGCGTCCAAACATTCTCTCCTGTCAGGAACTCTGCCTTATACAGGTCACACTCTGGACTACTGTATCTTCCCTGGAGCCCTCCTTCCTTGTTCATCCCTTGGCAGGGCGATTCTGGGGTCCGCGGCCTGGTACTAGCAAGCAGCTAAACCTATGTCCACCATCAGGAGCTCTGATGAAAACCGTCTGGTGCTTAGACTCCACGCCTCGGGTTGAGACCGTGTCACGTTAATGCATAGGTAGTTACCTGCACATGTCTTGATATTCCTTACTTACTGCTCATTCAAAAAAAAACTTTCCTACATTTTCCTAGAAAGTAGCAGGGGCTTTCCAAATTTTTTTTAAAAAGTGGAAAAAAATCAGCATACTTTTTGAATCACGATTTTATAGCAAACACAATATTTTAGGGATCGTTTTCTGTTGTCGCTATTCCAAAAAAAGTTGTTTTGTTCCAGGATAGGTAAGCTATGATAATGTTTGGTTTTCATCTAGGTTTCAGTGACTTGAGGACATTCTCCACTGCTGAGCTCCAACAAATCTTTCCCTTGGTGTGGTCTTTTCCTGGTGTATAATAATGTTAGTAAAGTTCTATTCACCCTATAAGCAGCAGGAGGGGGAACTGGTTCAGCTGCATTGAACACATCCAATACAGGTGTGGTTTTGGCAGCTTGTGTCCCATCTGAGTCCTATTGCAAAGTTTTTCCTTTACTGCCTGCCCTGTAGACACAACAGGAAGTGAAAGGAAAGTGCCAAAGTATTGCAAATCTCCTCTCAGACAATTGTTAAGGGACGCTTGTACAATAGAAGATTTTCCTTATGTTCCCGTTCTGGTGGCAACTCAGGATTTTAGATAAGTCCTTACTGGGGTCATCAGGACAAATATAGAGAGTGAGTGTCCCAAATGGGAAGATAGACAGTAATAAAAATGGGACGTGGGTGCTAACCCTTTCCTACTCTATGGGAAAAAAGGCCAAAGTGTTACGTCTGAACACATCCAGAATTTATCTTTAAAAAAGTTCTGACACTTTGACAAATATGACCCAAGCATCGTTGACTATTACAATAGGACCTATTCAAATTAGAAATAATGATACAAAAAATAGTAGAAAAATATTTACAAATCTGGTATTTACCTGATACAGCTCTATTCGTTGCTCTGATACCCGTGCTTTTGGATTCTGTAAACGAAACACTCTAAATTCTGCCTTCACTAAATTGGAAACGTTTTTCTCCATTGCAGAGACGTCGAACCGGACGATTCTGAAGTAAGGATTGTAATAGTTTGGGTGGATGGCATCTGCAAAAAGTTAGTATTACATTTTGTAAAAATACTGATGGGAAACATTGGTTTACTCTAAGATTTCTATACAACATGACAACAGAGATGACTTAAAGGAGCAATGTCAAATAGCAAAAGACTGGTGCAAGGAAGTTTCTATTGGAAACAGCTATTCCCAGAGTCTTGGGACATATGCTATTTACAGGGCAGTGACATTTCCTGTTTTCAGCCCCATGACATATTGCTACCACCACCACCACACTGTGCTGTAGACATGTCAATGGGCAGTATTACATTTATTCTGCAGATATTGCTTTAACCCCCAAAACCGTTTTCCGCACCACAACTGGATCACTGTTATGCTTTCCAGCAAACTCCAGATGTGCTGAGACATGGATCTTTTTGAATAATGGCTTCCCTCTTGCAATCCTGACACAGAGGCCATTGTTATATAGAGCTCTTGATATGGTTGACCATTGCACCTTTACTCCAGTCTCTACTAAATGTGATGAGGAAACTCGCCGTTCCAGAATATATAATACATGAGTCAATGATCAGCAGATGTTTCTAAGACAAGAATTTTGCTTTATGACAGAATGCCATTCCCTTTAAAAAATGAAGGAAGTGTGAAGTGACTGGGACTCCATGACACCCAATCAGATAATTTTTATTTTACCTTTTGTGTGTGTGTGTGTGTGGGGAAGGGGGGGTAACTTCACATCCCCGAGGACACAACTATATAAGCAATTTGACAGAGCTACTAAAAAGCACACAATGCAGGTTACAGACCCATGAGGGATCTATTGCTTCTCCTAAGACAGTGACCACTGAACTGACCAAACTAAAACTTGAAAAATATTGTGAATGGTCTTCCCTGCTCTGTCCCAAACTAAAATAAATGATTGGAGTTGAGCTTTATTTGGTCAAAGAAAGTACACAACCTATAATTTAAAAGAAAAGAAAATATTGCATGAGTGACTTGAGAATCTTGTGTGACATCAGCATGATGTAATGATTTGTACTGCAGAGCTTTATAAAAACATAAGCCTTATGGCAAACATATTGTTGGCAGCAAACCCTGAAAGATTAGCATGAGTTGGCGAAGGTTAAGCCTCTCCGCTTCCTTGAGGAAAAAAAATGTGCAAAAAAACAAAACAAGACCACAACCTCGGAAAAGGATGATGCTTCAGATAATTGCCCATGTGCCGCAAAGAACCAACGGCGCTCTAAGTAAGGTCTTACTGTTCTTATTGCCGCCGGTAAACAAGTGTTACAAAGATTTATTTTTATGGCCTTTTGTGTTTATGAAGCCGCTGGTCTTTGGTCCTCTGCCAGTGACTCGCACAGCACTGCTTCCCAACCTGGTCTCCGAAATGCGGTAGTCATCTAGAGTGGATTTGCAAATATTTACAGTTAAATGTACTTATTAAACACAGTTGTTATCCTTTTCAGATTACGACCATTTCTCTCTCCCACTGGCAATTAAAATAATTAAGCTGTCTCGAGCGCTGATCTGCTATACCGCTGAAGTATGCGGTTACAGTAGCCGAGCTCCAGATGAGGCACTGGAAGAAGACGCTGATATACAACACTTGGAGTAAATCTGTCACATGTAAAGCAGGATCATGTGGTTGTAGCAGAAGACTGAATCTGTTTGATTAAATTGATGCTGTCATCACCGAATGCACGAGTGAAAAATCGGCCATTTAAAAAGGAATCTATAGTAGTTTCAGGTCAATTTTTCTTTTATTTTTTAGGTTTATAGGTTTTTTAACTGTTATTTTACATCTGATTTTATATATATATATACACACACACACACACACACACACACACACACGTATATGTCTCGAATATGCATGTCACACCTCAGTGGCTCAATAAACTTTTTATTCCTCTCATAAACAATGCATTTAACAAGTACAAAGTACAAAGATGAAGACAGTTTCGGACATCCCCGTCTTTCATAATCAACTGAGAAAGTGCAACACTTATTGGAATTACATTGGATGGTGGAGTGGAATCTACTAGAGAAAGGCACTGTGTGTACCTGGGGAACCCGTGCTGCTCACCCAATTTCCGATATACTGTATATAAATATAAATATGAATTTCAATATTTCAACGCCATAAAGGAGGGCCTTAATGTGGATTCTGGTTTTCTGACACACTATCAAAACTTTTTATGAATCTACAGAACATCACAATATTCATGTATGTGGTATATCTCTGATCTGTTTAGGGTTTATTTGTCATCCTATGTTTATTTTTTCTGTCTTTTGATTATCAGGAGGCATTTTTTACTCCCAGGTCCAACATTTATGACACCCCTCCCCCCCTCCAACAGCTTTGTCCTGTCTTAACTGACAGACTGTCATGTTGATCAGTATTGCTTCTGACCTGAAGAAGAGAGGTTCACTCTCGAAAGCTTGTCTTTTATATATTTTGTTAGTCCAATAAGAAAGGTATCATTGCACACTGCAATACTGTGTTTTTGTCTTTTTTTAAATCTTATATATATATACATATATATACAGTATAAACACACACACCCACACACACACACACACAGTACATGACAAAGGATTCCCTAAGCACTACAGTTGAGCTAACCAGACAGCCCAGCGCATGCTGACCGCTTGACATTGTGGTTTGTTGTACTGAAACTTTGGCATGAGCCTTCCAATAAGGGATAAGTCACTGTGATCAGTCATTGCTGTAATTCACCTGTTTTAATTTAGCTTTAAAGGTCTATAACAGGCTTTAACATCAAAGAAGGCAACTGAGAGTCTGGAAAACATGAAAAGGAGTTTAAAGTACCACCTCATTCATGGCTCAAAAGTAGAATGCAAAATATTCATGCAATTTAATATTTTATATTTACCTGACCGCAACAATTTTGGATAGATTAGGGAAGTATTACAACGTCTGACAGGTTTTTATTGCTGTCTTTTTCCCACTGGGAAGAGTTATCCTCTCTTTTTGCCCTGATCACCGTGTCTTCATTACTCTATGCAAAATAATTTTTTTTAAATGGCCGTAAAAACATTATTATACTGTATGCAATTACTGCCCAAAATGAAAAATATCTCTTCCTTGTCATCCATCTTTAGTTTGCAGTTCAGGCTGCAAGGAGAAAGCAGAGTGATACAGAGATACTATGCTGTGCAATCACAGGCTGAGGTTGGGAGGAGACCTGTAAGTAAAAGTAAAACTGCAACAGAGAAAGTTCAGGTCTCCTCCCCTGCCAGGCAGGACTGTGCTGTGTGGCAGAGAAGTGGAAATCTCGGGCCTAGGTAGATAAATACAAATTATTTGGCAGGTAAATCATCTCCAATAGATATATTTCCTCTTTGTGTTTAGCTGTTTTCCTGGAGATCAGCTTTTACAAGCCGCACAGAGCCGACAGACGATTAAGATATTTGAAAAGTGACAGGTCCACTTTAAGTCCACTTCCATAGTCCTGTTATGAAGCAGAAGCTGGCAGATAAAAGCCCAATAAAAGTATGAGAATTTGGGAAAAAGGACTAAAGACTCTGGCTACAATCCTTGGCCTCCATTCTCTGGGGAGGGAGGGTTAACAGAAGATCTTCTGTTTTCTCTTCCCTCGCTCTTCAATGCAAGGGAGAGAGACGCGCAGCGGACTCAATGGCTGTGCTTGGCCAAACCGCCTCGTTGTCACAGCAGCCGTGCAAACTGCCAAAATAACATGTAAATGCTGTCAAACTCTGCTGCTTAGATTAGACTCGCTTGTAAGGCACTGAGCAATGTTTCAGCAGATCTGACTGTAAAGTGCTGCCGTCCAAACCTAACCACACCCTCACCACACCCTGCCCGCGCATATCCGCACCCGACCGTGCATTAGCACAAAAGAGCACAGCCCATTTAGCAGGTTAGAACCCAGGGCTCATTAGAGCGTATCGAAACCCAAGAACAAGAAATGGAATATATTGCAGCTGATTAGTACTTTGATGTTTTGGCTGCATTAGTTTGCTTTTTATTCCTTTATTATCAACTGGTGACTCTGCCAGTATTACACTTCCTGTCCTAGGGTGACAACGCTCACTTACTTACTGTACTCTATGGAGGAGCAGCATTACTACCTTAGGAAAGGAAGCATGTTGGAACTACAGAACACCTTCATGCCTTCCTCTTTTCCATAACACACAGTGGAGGTGCTCTGTAGCTCACAGAGCTGGGAACAATGCTATCTGATTTGTATTTATTTATTATAGGTATTTATGTAGCACTGACAATTTACACAGCGTTTTACACAGTGCACATTCACATCAGTCCCTGCCCTTAAAAGAGAACTATGGGCTAAGTGTTTTTCCCCATAGTTCTCTTTAGGGTCACGGGAGGACATATACTAACCTCCTCCTGTTACCCAAAGCTCAGTATATAGCGGGTTATTGCACGTGATATACTGAGAGCGCCGCAGCTGGCAGGATCCCGACAATACTGTCTGGATCCAACCAGCTGCGTGTGACAGCTGGCTCTGCCTATCTAGAGGCAGAGCCAGTTGTGCCCACCCCCTCCCCTGTCCATTCCTCCAGTCAATATTGAGGATGCACAAGGAGAACTTACAAACTCCTTGCAGATAGTGATCTGGCCGGGATTCGAGCCGGGGACCCCCTGTGCTGCAAGGCAGAAGTGCTAAACACTACACCACTATGTTCAAATTATTTTAATGGTATATCTAACAGGCCAAAGGGAGCATTGTTAGGGTTTGCATATACTTTAAACGGTAAGATATTGTTTTACAATAAGTTACCGGAGAAACCACCAAAAGTAACCAGTCAATGTTTTTTTTCCTCCTTTCCCTGCAATAAGTAACAGCTCATCAGTACCTCACACGTACTCATATACTTTGGCTATGACCACTTTCATGCTACTTTATAGAGATTGATACAACTGTATAAGCCCAAATCAGGAATGAAAAAACTCAACACAAAAAAGTGTAATGCTAACATTCATGTTTAATTAATGAGGACTGGCAGTGGACTATACCCAGAAACAGCACAGAACAGTAGGGTCGGTGAAAGAGCTGTAGCTCCCTACTGTAGGCTAAAGTACTTGTATATTTTAAGGCAGCATCTGATCCACATTACTGTACTCCTCTCCAGCTCTAACAGAGAGGGGCTTTTGGGTATGGTGGTGACCTCCCCCAACTGACAGTGCTTAGGCCAGGTGGGGGTAAGGGCAATGAGATCATCTACCTGGGTAAGCCCCGGTGCTGCCTGTTTCTGGAACATACCTAGAGTGGCTTCTGCAGCAGGGAAGCACTAGATCAGAGTTTATACCTTGCTGAGAGAAAGGTCTATCAACAGACACTATCACTTTGCCTTAAAGTGATACTGTCACTTTGTCTCTTTTAGGTTTTTTAATTTGTTAATGATTTATAGATATGTATCATACAAACATACATTTAACACAGGGTGCATCTATGACTGGTTTTGGCTAGACAGCACTGCAGCAGCTGCTTTCTTTCTGACTGTTTCTCCTTAATTGATAGGGTACAGAATAAAAGGAAAGGAGGGAGGGTGGGAAGGAGTCAAAGGAGGATGGGAGTTCCTTTCATCATTTAGCTGTGTGTGTGTAATTTGAGCTGCAGCTATTGAACTCTGTAAACAGGCACAGCTGGTTAAAAGGGAAAAACATATTTTCACAGTATTAGCCTTGAAGAATCCCACAGTGGCTGATTACATGACCAAAGGCCTAGACATTTCAATCACACCACCTCAGCCGAAACGGAGCAGAGTTAAGACAGAACCACTAACTAGCTAGACTGAAGTCAGTGCCCCAACCCTCTTCAGCTGAGATCATGTGACCAATGCCCTAGTACCAGAAGGTTCCCACAGCAGCATTACTTTTCTAGTAATGATAATAATGTAATCAAACCATTTACCATTTATTAGTGTACTGTAGCATGGTGATGAGCATAGTGAAACTTAAGGCATAAACTTAGTTTATTTTATGTTTTTATCCATCAGCATGTAAAGTCCACAGAGACCTGTGTTGAGTTAACATTCAAAAAAAACGTTCCACTGATGAAAGATCCCACTGAATTTGGAGGTGAAATGTTCTTAAACATATGGTTCCCAACTCTTTTCTATGTAAGTAAAGCAACACTATCAAATAAGAAAAAAAAATGTTATATTTATACATTTATTTACAGTATAACCATGGCTATTTTATATTTGCATGTCAGTAGAAGTAAATTAATCATATACACCACATAGCCACAAGTATGTGTATGCTCCTTCAAGTTATCGAGTTCAGGTGTTTCCAGTGAAGGGCATGTTAATGTTACAGTTTAGACAATTGTGCTCTTCCAACCTCGAGGCAAGAGTGTGAGGAAGGCCTTTTTTCGGTTGCAGCATGACTGTGCTCCCCATGTACAAAGCCAGCTCAATAACGACATGGTTTTAGGAGTTTCGTGTTGAGGAGCTCGAGCGGACTGCACAGAGCCCTGACCTCAACCCAACTGAACACCTTTGGTATGAACTGGAACGCCAATTATGAACCAGGTCTTCTCATCCAACATCTGTACCTGACCTAAAAATGCATTTTTGGATAACTGTACACAAATTTCCCAAAGACATATTCAAAAATCTTGTGGAAAACTTTCCCGGAAGAGCGGAGGCTGTTATTGCTGCAAAGGGAGGGATGGGAGGCATCTTGATGGTCATGGTATTCGAATGGGATAACTACAAAGCTCGTATAGATGTGATGGTCAGGTGATAACGGAATGTAGCTACATTCATATTTTCACTGTTCGCCTAGTAGAATGTCAGAGCTTTGGTAAAACAGTTGCAATAAAGTTATTTGAATTACAGTTGCTGATTAGGTCATTGAAGGATAACAATAACAGCAAGGACAACACATTGATGGTGAGCTAAAATACAAAAAAATAGACACGGCTTTGCCCTTCCCAGTTCAATGGGAAAACCCAGCCCGTTTAATGCACCTCTGCAGCATCAAAACTCATTGAGGGGAAATGAGAGAGGCTGATTGGTTGCCGTGCACATTTGCTCCAAATTTTGTCTGCTCCAATTTTGATAAATTCCCCTCAGTGAGAGATGGAAAGGAAGTAATTCTATGACTTCCCAAAGGAAGAACTACATGAAAATATACTGTATGTACAGAAAAATACAAAGGCCGACGGTATCTATCTTCCTAAAATTAAAATGCATAGCCAAGCAGCAGAAGGAACACAAAATTATATGTGATCACGACAGATTAACATCTCCATCTCAATGTCAATAAGAAACTTTAAAAACCAGTCCTCACGCTGGTTTACATTCTTTGCGGAATACAGTTCTTCCCACTATATTTAAAACAGACAGCGCCCGCTTTCTAGTCAAACGCTAACCATCTGTCTACAAATTGCCTAGCCAAGCCTTCAATAAAAGAAAGATGTTCAGAATTTCTTCCCTCTGCCCTCCTCTCTGTTATTATATACTGATACTGTGGGGCCATCCTCTGCAATTCTCATTTACAGGAGACTATCCTCCACTCGTTCCTTGATTACTGTAACCTTTCTCTGCTGCTTTTCTTCTCCCATTTTAATCAGAGTAATTTTGTAGGACTTTGGCAAGCAGGCCTTGCGGCTCTCTGGATATCATAATAAACTTGACCTTTTAGTCTGGTAGTAGAGTCAATTCTAAATTTGAGAGGAGCATTCATTCTCTTAAAGAACTCATAAAGTTCAGTAATACGTAGGCGGAGAGATGTTTACTTGTGCACTGTTAGAAAAGAAGAAAACAGATACATTTCCACCATGAATAGCAGCCTGTAGCTAGAATGGAAGTCTGGAGCTTTTGGTGGACTTTGGACAAGATAACTGCAATTACACACAGAGCACTTTGATCCAGCACTAAATATACCCCCAACCTTCTAGGATGAGAAAGAGCCCTCTTTTAGCACAACGTGTGTGGGTTAAGGACACAGCCCTACCACAACCCAGTTGTGTAAACTGTGAAGGCCTAATACACATAAAAGAGTTCTTGAAGCAGAATTCCAGCCCGAAATAAAAAAAGAACAGCCCATTAAAAGATAACATAAAAAAGCAACTTTTTTGCAATACTAACCTTCAATCCAGAGCTGGAAGTCTCAGCACTTTTCATTGTCCTCATTCTAGTTTTAATATTAAAGGAGAACTATGAGGTGAGTGATTTCCATTCATCCTCATAGTTAGAGCTGACCTGTGACAAAGAAACTGTCACAGGTCGGCTCTTTTGATCGGGTAGTGAGCGAACACATACCGTCGCTCGCTCACTTTCCATTCATCTCCCTGCCGAGAGCGAATACTGTCAGTCACCGCTACCCGCAGGGATTCCCCCCTCCCCTCTCTGATCCTCCAGCGCTGAGTGGAGAAACGGAGGGGAAGGGGACAGGCATAGCTGGCTGTGCCTCTAGATAGGCAGAGCCAGCTGTCACTCACACAGCTGGGTGGATCCAGACAGTATTGTCGGGATCCGTCTTGGCTGCTGCACCCTCAGTATATAGCATGCGATAGCCTGCTATATACTGAGCTTTGGGTCATGGGAGGAGGTTAGTATATGTCCTCCCATGACTCTAAAGAGAACTATGAGGAAAAACACTTACCCCATAGTTCTCTTTTAAGTTGATAAAAAATGTGGCAACTTGGAAATCAGTGGTTTTGATTGACTGCAAGGAGATGGGATCGAAATTGCCTTGATCAAACCCAGTGGAAATATTGGATCGCTTTTGACCAAATTGCCATTGTTTTTTTTCTTTTTTTGATAATTTTTATTAATAACCTGTATAGAAGCTGTCAATTTACAGCCCAGTTTGATCAATAAAATTCAGGTAATGTAAAGTGTCAGCAGGTGGCTTCTGACAAAATATCAGTAAAGGATGCACTCCAAAGCAAGCTCACTACTGTTTATTAATGTACTAGTTTAAAGTAGAATACTCTAAACAACGTTTTGGGGTCTCACAGGATCCCCTTCATCATGCAAACAAGTGATGAAGTTGTCGTACTAGTACTTGCACCAGTACATTAATAAACACGTACTGAACTTGCTTTGAAGTGCCGGTGTCCATACTTTCCTTGTGTCTGATAACCACTTATCTGTTGCTTTCACAGTCTCCCATCTTATAGAACTCATCTTTAGCTTCTTCCTGGTCCAGATGCCAGTGGCTTAAGCCCAAAGAAAAAAAACACACTTTCAGCTTGCAACCTTATTGGCTGAAGCTTCTGCAGTGAGGTACATGACCAATACACAAGGATACAGACTTAACAAAGGCCACCAAACTAGTTTTTGTGTTTGCCATAGTGACCAGATGCATGGTATTTGTAGAGCCCTAGCCATACTACATGTACTGATGTTGAGTGGAGCAGGAAAGTAGCACACAAAGGTCAGGAGGAGTTCAGACATGTGTTGAGAGGTACCGCATGACCGAAAATATTCCAAGCTTAGAAAAAATAGGCGTCATCATACACACAAGTGTTTATATTTCCCTTACCAGCCCTGAACTTTGGTCTTGTCCTGGACTAGAGGGCTTGCCTAAGGGAAGCATTAAGTAGAATTGGGGCTTTATCATCTGCACCAAGTCTTGGCGCAGTACAAAGTGAGAGTTCAGCATAATATGTTCTTTAGTTCATGAGTGTCAGGGCGTGTTCAGCAGACCTTAGCAACACGTGTTGGCCTCTCCATTTTGATGCCTAGTCTATGGGCCACAAAGCAGCCATGTCTAATGGACAGACAGAACTCGACTTCACAGAAAATGACTTTCGTGCTAGGCAGTGCTAATATAATTGCTTGAAAAGGCTTTTTTTATTTTATTTATCCCAAATGTCTCTAAAGCCTATTGCCCTATACACTTGATTTTTCATGATAGAATCTGGTTAGTACAATATAGCAGAGGCTTTCTTTGAAGAGTCTGTGCTTTGATGCCTTTAGAGTTAACACATGAGGTCAGGCTTGCACACTGGAGACTTGTAAAGCTCAAACTTCAAGGGGAGCTCGCTGCAGATGGGGAGGATGCACCTGCACAAAACGCTACACTAAATGCCAGAATGGCTCCTGAGCCAAAACAAAAGGACGTAGTCTCTAGGCTGCCGTAACCGGAGACCTGGGACTCATCAGCGCAACATGCTAATCAAATCAAATCACCAACACTGTCCTAAATTCATCCCAATCAACTGCAATCAAATCCAATCCTTCCACAAGCAAGGTAGACTTTCCAGGAATCTATGAAGGTTTGCAGGTCTACTGTATCTTCTTCACTGGATTTAAGCAGATTCACTCCACATCCTCTATTAACATTTACCACTGAAAACCCACTGATTTCTGTGCTTATCAGAGTCATAAGATAACCGGTAAGAGGCTCTTTAAGTGGCTGCTAATGGTTGTTATGCCCTCCAGTCTCCGCGTCCTCCATAAGTGAGTCTCTTGGTGTCCTGACCAAGAGGATAACTTACAACAAAAATTCTGAGACCAGCGGGAATAACAGCCATACTCATGAACTTTAGGTATAATTCAGCTGAATACATTTTAGGTGCATCAAAACAAAAGTTATGCAAAGTTATTTTTCTTTATAAAGCAGCCATAGCCTGTGTAGAAAAGACGGTCTCCTGCTTGCATGCAGTAGCTCTGTGTGGAAGCAGCGGTCTATCTGCAAAGGTCAACACACATAAAACAGCAGGGTTCTCCAATCAGCAGGGAGCTTTACTGATTGCAAAGCTATAGGTTTGACTCCACAGGAGGCATGTTTAACACTTCTACCGAAAGGCGACTGCACACAGAGGACAAAAATCCATCTCTACAGCATGCTGGCAGGGACAAGGCTTTTCTACTTAGGCTGTGTCTGCTTTCTAAATAAAACAAACTGTAAAGGCTTGTTCACAACATGTCCATTGATTGAGCTGCTTTTTTTCTGAAACATGACACATAGAAAACAATTGATTTGGTGTCCAGAAACATGCAGCTCAATGACTTAGTGTGAACAAGCCCTTAGGCCCCTTTCACACAAGTGCCTGTCAGTTCTGATCAGCAGATTGGAGAAGTTCAGAACACAAGTCCCCATTGTGACATCCGTGTCTGTCCAGTTTTTTCCCTCTATCTTTTGATGGAGGAAACAAATTAACTTATCGGACCCATATTAGGTCTAATGAGAGTCGGATGTAAATGGACATGTGTCCGTTTATATTAGATTTCCGTCATAATCAGGTCTGCCAAAAGGGAACTTTGTTACATTTGGTTTTCCGGACCTGGTTGGAGTTGGAAGTAATCAGATGTATCTTTTTAGATTTGGCTGCCCATAGACTAACAATGGACTTCAATGAGATCCATCTTTAAACTGACAGACGGACCAGTTTGGACCGCCTGTCTGAAAGGGCTCTTAGACTTGCTATTCCTTTTGTTTTGATGCACCTGTACTATATTTAGCCGATTCAAATGGAAAGTTCAATTGGACATTGGGGGACAGATTCCATGTAGGACTCAGGAGGGATTTTACAAAAGTTTATTTATTTTTTATGAATTGGTGAATGGTGAATGTTGTGAGCACAATATCAACTATCAAACCTTGTCACTGGGTAGTTACACCAGCCATACAACATTCACCTGAATTAGCATCACAGCCTAGAAGGAGAGAGAGCTCAAATCCTCTGAAATGTGTTGGTTGCATGCTTATAAAGCAACAATAAAAGTGGAACAGAATTTTTTGTATCAGACTCTTAACACCCAACCAACAGTCACGTAAATAGGTTAGACATGATAACTATAGGTTTTTTCAAACTAGCAACAAGAAACAATACCGGCGCCTCCACCTGCAAAACAGCCAGTTGTAATGATAATGGACACACTGAAGAGGCAGCTCCCACAGGTCAAGGAGACCGTCAATCTGAGAGACAAAAAACGAAAAAGGGTGCCTCCATAGTGCAAAAACGAAATATCATGATAAAATGCACAACTTGTATTGTATATAGGAAATTTTCTATCGATTTCTATATGCCTTTTTACTACCGACTTTTTGTAAGTACAATACAAGTTGTGCATTTTATCATGATATTTTGTTTTTACACTATGGAGGCGCCCTTTTTCGGTTTTTTTCTCAAACTAGTTTACTTTTTTAAAAATTCTATTTCCCCTTTTTGAGCAAAATGGATATATGATTTCTGCAGCCATTTCCCTTGAACTACATTCTACCACCAAGTTTTTTCTCCCTTTCACAATGACCTAAGTTGTAAAATGACTTGACAGATACCCAATCAATGACATCACTGAAGGAATCGCACACAACCTGATCCATTACATCACTAACCTGAAACAACAGCCTCTTATGAGTGTAATCAGAACATCGCCCATCGCAGAGATTACAGTGACACTCCTGACTAAAGCCAGCCACACTAATACAACACAAAGACTTATGAAGATTTCCAAACGTCATTCACTAGAAGCAATCATCCTGGCTGGTGACCTATGTGCAGTTCTAAAATAAAAATGATACACCTCCTAAAAAATTAAAACAAAGGCACCTTATTCCATGAAAGGAGCAAGCTACAAATGATACAAATGCAGAAATCAAAAAGCTTGACTGCTTCCTTGTCTTCATGTGTCCATTTTTTTCTTTTAGGGTTGGAATAAAAAAAAATGTTCTGTCTAAGCCCAACTCAGACTCCAAACGAAGCATATATTAATATTCAAATTATATTATATTAATCTATCTAGCAGTAAAACAGCGAGAGCCCATAACCTGATATTATCTAATCTTGCTGCTGTTTCATCCTAGATATAGTTGGCCTTTACACGTGTATGTGTATTTAAACCCCAAAACAAATTTGTAATATACTGACATCTACCAGTTCTTAGATAGAGTGGTTGCATTTGTTTTATTTTTTTCCAGCCTTTTTTTTTTTTACTTAATTTTCACTTGGTGGTCCTGTGAATAACACATTGGCTGTCCTATGGTGGCAACTGTCACTCATTCCACTGTATCTATGGGAGGGAGTCATGGTTGTCACTGTAGGCTGTTCTCCTGATTTGGATTACTAACCCCCTACTCTACTCCTCATCTCAATTACATAGTAGGATAGTTTTATATATCAATTAAATACACAGGAAGTTACAAGGACAATAACATTCGGGCAAGATTTTTGTAATTTCAGAAAGTGTATTTAACCTGAAAATAGGAAACTACTGAAGATACAACATCTAAGGCTGGGTTCACACCTAGGCTTATTGAATATGCACGTTTGTCGCCCGTTGTTGCCCGTTTCCGAGGGCTACTTGGCTGTATCCCAATGGAAACGCAAGACCAAAACGCCCCAAAGAAGTACATGTACTTCTTTGGGCGTAGGCCGTTTTGTTTTTCGCGTTCGGACGGGCGGAAATACGGCAAGGTGTGAACCAGACCCATTTAAATACAATGGGATTTAGATGTTTGAGCGTTTTGTAGAGCGTTCGTCGAGCGTTGAACGCGCTACAAAACGTTCAGGTGTGAACCAGGCCCTAAGGATTTTGGGCTTTAGATAAAACTAAATAAGAAACAACCATGACCTCATCAGGAAAACGTTCGGTAAAGCTGCATGAGAAGACCCCCAGTTCACTGCTTAGCTTGAGGGCCCTAGAATTATTACTTGCACTCCGACATTGGCTGTGATATGTAACACATACAAACTCATACACATACCCAATGCGTGTTTGAGTTTGTATGTGCGTATACGTGGGGGCCGGGGACTCTATAGCTGCCTGAACGCTTGTATGCAGTATATCAAAGGCTTCAATTTGTGAAACTTTCCCGCTCCTGAATGCATGCGGCGTGGAGGGGGGGGATGTCACAGAAAAGGACATTTATAAACGCACCCACAGTTATGCAGAATCTGTCTGGCCATTTATTTACAATCTGCCAGGCGGCAAGTAGTTAAAACGTGTGTGGTGTGTGTGTGTGTGGGCGGGGTTGACTGTACCCTTCATAGGTTATTCCTTTAAATAAGTATTCTAGTGCTAAAAAAGAAACCCTTTTCAAGCTACGACATGTCATGCCAGTCCTTGTTTTTTTCAGGGGTTACCCTGTTTCTCAGCTTCATCAACCTGAACAGTGTGACCACATTCTCCAAGTATATGTTTCTGCCTTATATACCTTATTTTAGACCCAGAGATGCCATCGCTGGATTTCTGTGTGCTATATATAGCTTCTTGAAAGCATTACAGCCTTAGTGCTCCTCTCAAGAGCCCTCAACCCTGATGCAAAGCAGTGGGACTCCTCTTGGGAGGCATTATACAAATTTATACAAATATCCAAATGCACTGATGGGTGGATGTCAGTTTGGTGGAGTTCCCAGGCAGGCTGTATTGGCATGCAGACTAAGTCCTGTCTTGCTAGCAATGTTTTATTACATAGGAAGTGGGGAGAACTCAGCAACACAGAAATAAATAAAAATGCTTTTCCCAGAAGATTGAGGAAAAGCTGACAGATTTTTCCTCACTTCCTGTCTGGTGAAACTGTTGTCAGCAGTGTAGGAAGTGAGGGCAAGTCTCTCTAAGGGAGGCCCAGATGGAAGTAAAAACCCCACAGGAATTCCAATCCTTCATTTAAAAGTAGACAATACATTTTTAGCTTGACACCTACTTTAAAAAAAATATTTGAAAATGCCTAAAACGACATAAACATGTTAAAGGTTATAAGAAAATGTCAGTGATTGGGTTTACATACACTGTAAGTTGAATCTTTGTTGGTAGATAATTCCCATCTTATGTGTTTGAACTCTGTAGCCGGTTATGTGGCTGGACTTGACTTTTCCAGTTCTTCATACTGTATGGCGTGACAAGCGTTAAGTACGTTTTCTTGTCCAACTCCCTCAAGATAACCTCACAGAGTCAAATGCAGCCTTGATTTTGGCTCACTCAAGAAAACAGGTCATCAATAACTTGCAGCTATAAATATTGCAGCATAACGTCTGCCGTCAGCCCATTACACAACCGAGATTTCCAACGTTTGTTTGCAAAAGCTGTATGATACGAGACAATACGTAGGCTTTCTATAGCAAGCAGGCTCCAGTCACTGCTAATTAAACGCGTACTGTGTTTATTGCGCTAAGGCGGATGTGGTCATCTTGGGGCCCTCACTGTTGTGGGACTACAAGTTCCAAAATGCCCTGTTGGGTTTTAAAGGAAACCTAAATACTCCTTTTATGAATGTTAGCTGTATTTTGTTATCATGTCCATGCTACCTAATTCTGATTTACGGACCTAGAACATGCACATTAGGAGATCTAACTTTACTCTGATTGACTGCATGCTCATTTGTGATCAAGAAAGTTTAGAAGCATCTGGATTAATATGTGGGATGGGGGGGGCTAGTGTGAGGGTTGGAGTTAGTCTTACAGGGAAGATCGGTGTTAGGGTTACAGGGAGGGTTAGTATGAGGGTAGTTTGGGGTACAGGGAGGGATAGATTGAAGGTCAGAGTTAGGGATAAAGGGAAGGGTAGTGTGAAGGTCAGAATTGGGGGTACAAGGAAGGATAATGTGAAGGTAAGTATTAGGGGTACAGGGAGGGATAGTGTTAAGGTCAGAGTTAGGGGTACAGGGAAGGATAGTTTGAAGGTCAGAGTTAGGGGTACAGGAAGGGATAGTGTGAAGGTCAGAGTTAGGGGTACAGGGAAGGATAGTGTGAAGGTCAGAGTTAGGGGTACAGGGAGGGATAGTGTGAAGGTCAGAGTTAAGGGTACAGGGAGGGATAATGTGAAGGTCAGCGTTAAGGGTACAGGGAGGGATAGTTTGAAATTCTGAGTTAACTGTACAGGGAGGGTTAAGCTG